ATCCTAATCTAGCATACAAAATAATAAATATAACAAGATAGAATACATACCTCTTTGATGTAGAATGTCTTCATGAAGCTTGAGTGCCTAGTGCCCCAAGTGTGACACCTCAAATGGTTCACACAACACCAAATACACTTGGAATAACTTGAGAGAAACTTGAACACTCCTTGAAATCGTCTAGCCCTCACACTCACACCTTAGTGCACGATTTCTTGAGCCATGGGATTCTTTTATATGGTGGCTGTTAGGGTTACACCATGTAACTCATAACTTTACCCATTCCTTATGCTCCATGGATTTTAACCTCCATGGAGTATCCATGGGTCACCCCATGGACTTAGTCCAACATAAGGAATCTTGGATCACAAGCCCACATATATAAGAATGAATGATTTACACAATCAACCCATATATTTAATTAGTCTCCTTTTGATCACTTAATTAATTCCAAATTAATTCTTGATCAATACTAATTAAATAACCTTATTAATATATTAGAACTTATAATATATTAACCAACCTTAAGTGTTATTTCTCTCATTATAGTCTATCCAAATGCATGATGCCATGCAACCCAAATGGACCATGCCGGGTCGGGTCAAGTCTTACCAATTATAGTTATGGACTTAGACATTAATCCAACAAATACATCACTTTTGGTGTAGTTTTGCTAGAAGGAAGAGGGAAACACCCATATAGAGCGTGAAGGGAGCTTGGATCTGGGCTAATCATCTTGAGAGTTCATCTCTGGAGGTATAATCCTTTCTATTTCGTGTTGATATGATAGATTTCTTGATTTTAGGGTTTTTACCTCCATTTTATGTAAGATCTAGTGAGTATGAAGTCCCCTTTGTGTTAATGACATCAGATCTGGACCATGAGAGGTCCATAGAGTCACTATCCCTCAGCTTTATGCAAAGCAAATGAGAGTTTGGGGACTAGGTTGCCATTTTTAGAGTTATTTCTCCATTTATGACTTGATGTGGGTTGCATGCACGTAAAGGTTGCACCTTTACGTGACATTTGAGCACTTGAATGGTAGATCTGATGGTTAGGGAAGCAGATCTGACCTTAGGAGGTCATTTGAGGATGAACATGGAGGCAACTCGCCGAGTCCATAAGTGGACTCGCCGAGTCGAGTCGGGGTTGCCCCGCGATTCGTGACAGGAGAAACCCGTCGAGTGGAAGGATGACTCGACGAGCCAAGAGAGGCTTGATGGATACAGAGGACCCGCATGGACTCACCGAGTCGCCCTTGTGCACTCGACGAGTCGGGTCAAAGTTGACCGTTGACTTTCGTTGACCTTAGGGTTCTAGTCAAGACTGATTTAGAAAAGTCAGGGAAGGGTAGAATGGCCTTCTACCCAATCTGTAGAGACGAGGCTATGAGAGAATATTGATCGGGAATGTTATTTGAATAATAGGAGGAGGCTAGGTCGGGACGTTGAGCACGAGAGTTATCCGACTTCATTGAGGTGAGTCTTCTCACTATACTGTACCTGGAAGGGTACCTATGTGTGACCGGAAGGTCTTGTATGCTATGAGATGTATGTGCTATATGCGGTTATGTGATATGTATGTGCTATGTATGTTATTTATGGTATGGACCGGAAGGTCAAGATGATATGGACCGGAAGGTCAAGATGACATGGACCGGAAGGTCAAGAGGTTACGGACCGGAAGGTCGATACGGGTAGGACCGGAAGGTCTATCGGGATTCGAGACGGAAGTCCCCTGAGACACTTGGATCGGAAGATCCCACAGAGTTATGGCATGGAAAGCGCATGTGTGGTATGTGGTATTTTGGGGAACTCACTAAGCATTTATGCTTACAGTTGTTGTGTTATGTGTTTCAGGTACTAGCGAGGATCGCGGGAAGGCGCCGGCATGATCCGTACACACTTATAGAGTTTATGTTATTGAGATTCTGGGACATGTTATGTTATGACACAGTGGACACATTATGTTTTGTGATTATCGTGTGATTGAAAGTATGATTTAAAAATGAAAAATTGTTTTGAAAATTTACGTTGTTACAAGTTGGTATCAGAGCCTTGGTTTGAGGGATTCGGGTGCATCTTCGGATGAACCTGAACTCAAACTGAGGAATAAAGAAAGTTTTTTCATAAAATAAACAATTTTTCTAAGAAAGTAAAAGATTTTGAGAAAGGCAAAAGGGAGCAGTGTGTACGATCAGCCAGCGCTTGAACGGTGATTTCCCAAAATACCCTTACATTATGTGTTATGAGATATGTTATGATACGATATGCATGCTAGAGTAGGCTAGGTATTCATATTAGGACTAGAGTGGCCTGATTTGTGATGCCTTAGCCTAGGAAGGATTATGCTGCTATGTGATGCTTGAGAGCGAGTAGGTAGCAGTGAGGAGCTGATGAGAGGTCTACCGAAGGGTAGCCTATTCCAGTGAGATATAGGGTACTTGTGATCTGGGATCCAAGGAGGAGGACTTAGGGTGGATACTAATGCGGTGTGGACGGTAGTATAGGGCCCGTACTACTGAAGACACCGGAGCAATGCGCACTCTAAGTAAGAATCCTTTGGGTACTAAGGAACGAGTAGGGTTGAGTTATCGAGTGTGAGTATGCTCGAGCGAGTCTCTGATATTGTTATGTTGTATTTTAGAGGCATCATGGTTGGGACACGCCACAGACCTGAGGCGAGCGGCGTGAGTGACGAGGAGCTTCGTCAGATGATCCAAGATGAGGTGGCAGCGGCGATTCGAGCCAAGATTCCGGAGATGTTTGGGTCTATCAAGACCACATTGATTGAGACTTTTGATGAGCGGTATGCAGCGGTGACTGAGGCTACGGCTGCTACAGCTACTGCAGTAGTAGCTGCTGCCAGACCTCAGGGAGGTGACTCGTTGTTGCTTCGAGAGTTCAGCAACACGAAGCCACCAGAGTTTGACGGGACGCAGGATCCGATCGCTGCGATGAGGTGGATTTCTGATATTGAGGGATGCTTCTATACGTGTTCATGTCCGGAGCATCTGAGAGTACGGTTCGCGCTGAACCAGCTTCGCTTGGGGGCGAAGGATTGGTGGAAGTTCGTGACGGCGAGCTTCACTCTTGCGGAGATTTCAGAGGTGACCTGGGAGAGGTTCACCGCTATGTTCAAAGACGAGTATGTTCCCCCAGTGGAGAGGGAACGGTTGGTTCAGGAGTTCTTGACCCTCAAGCAGGGTACCGATTCTGTTACTGTGGTTACCAGGAAGTTTCATGAGAGGGCGATGTTCTGCCCTGAGAAGGTGTCTACTGAGCAGGCACGCATGAGCCGGTATTTGGGCGTTTTGAGGAGGGACATTCAGGAGTTCGTGTCGAAATCAACTTACCGGACATTTGCTGAGCTCCAGGTAAATGCCCGGAAGAGGGAGATTGAGTTGGAGACTCAGGCCAAGGAGGAGGCCGAGTCTCAGAGGATAGATCGGCGGCCGGCACAGTCTCAGCCGGCAGCCAAGCGGGCCAAGTCCGCTGATACCAGATCTGGAGGCCAAAAGGGCCGCACTTGTGGGAAGTGCGGCAAGGGACATGATGGGGTCTGTCGATCGGGTGCTTGCTACAAATGTGGCAAAGAGGGGCATATCGCCAAGGATGGCCCCAAGGGATTTATGGTTTGCTTTCATTGCAACCAGACTGGCCATCGGAAGGCCGAGTGCCCGCAGTTACATCAGGGATCAGCACAGGGATCTGCACCTGCTGCTAGAGCTACCTGGAAGGGTACCTATGTGTGACCGGAAGGTCTTGTACGCTATGAGATGTATGTGCTATATGTGGTTATGTGATATGTATGTGCTATGTATGTTATGTATGGTATGGACCGGAAGGTCAAGATGACATGGACCGGAAGGTCAAGAGGTTACGGACCGGAAGGTCGATACGGTAGGACCGGAAGGTCTACCGGGATTCGGGACGGAAGTCCCCTGAGACACTTGGATCGGAAGATCCCACAGAGTTATGGCCTGGAAAGGCGCATGTGTGGTATGTGGTATTTTGGGAAACTCACTAAGCATTTATGCTTACAGTTGTTGTGTTATGTGTTTCAGGTACTAGCGAAGATCGCGGGAAGGCGCCGGCATGATCCGTACACACTTATAGAGTTTATGTTATTGAGATTCTGGGACATGTTATGTTATGACACAGTGGACACATTATGTTTTGTGATTATCGTGTGATTGAAAGTATGATTTAAAAATGAAAAATTGTTTTGAAAATTTACGTTGTTACAAGTCGGCTCATACCCACCATCTGCAACCTCTCGTTGTCACCATAATCAGAGAGTCAACCATTGTTAGACCTTCACACCCAACATCTAATACCTTTCTTCTCTCACTAGCATTACAATAAAAAAGTCAGCCAATGACTTTCACACCCACCATTTCGTTTATTACGCTCAGAAAATCGTCATTGTGCACCACCGTAATCGACATTGTGCACCATCACTTCCCCATCCAAATCCAGGCATGTTATTTGAAATTTTGTTTTAAAAAGAAAATAATTAGAGAGAAAACTTGTCACGGTTGAAGGAAGATCCATTAAATGAAGGCTTGGCATCAATTTTAGCATCCCTAATTTTGATCATTCGTTGAATCAAAGTCCTAAAACTGCAAGAGAGTTTCTGTTACAGGTCAAAGCTGAAACACATGGATTTGGTTACAAGTTTCCTTCTATAAAATTGCAAGCTGATGATAATGTTTTTTTTACCTCATTAAAAGCTTCATGTTTTAGAGAAAAACAGAGGTGGTGGTTACCTCAATTTGGTGTTGTTTATGCTTTGACACAAACTCGTCCATATGTTGCAAGAACTTGTTGTTAGGGACCAACTCCAAAACCAAAACAGACTTTAGGGATGATCCCAATTAAAAAAAATTAGGGACCAAACCTGAAAATTACTATAAACCGTAGTGACCATTTATGTAGTTTACCCTTAAATTTTTAAAGATTAAAGACGTTTATATCTATAGAAATTTGAAGTCGGCTGCTCACTTCTATCGAACTCATCAACCATCACCATACATAATCTCTCTCTCTCTCTCTTATCATTACACACCATTATTCCCATTCCATGGTTACCCTTACCCAATGTCTTCTTTCTTTCGAATATTCCGTCGGACGAACTCTTCCGACAGTGCAGACGAACTGGAGGAAGACGACCCGATTTCCAACTCAACAGAATGCTACACCTGCACCCAAGTAGGCGTTCCCGTCTTCCACTCCACCAGATGCGACCACGCCCATCAACCAGAATGGGAGGCTTCCGCCGGCTCTTCTCTCGTTCCCATCCGCGACCGCCCCGGCTCCAAAATCATCCCAAACCGCTCCTCCAACGGTGGTCGGAGACAGCGATCCTCGGGGTTCCTCCGCCGCGTGTACGACCCCCGGAGCAAACGAGTGCAGAGATGGAACAGATTCTTCCTGCTGGCTCGCGGCATGGCGTTGGCCGTCGACCCTCTATTCTTCTACACGCTATCCATTGGCCGCGGTGGCGTTCCATGCCTGTACATGGACGGTGCGCTGGCGGCCGTGGTTGCGGTAGTCCGGACGCTAGTCGACGCCGTCCATCTTCTTCACATGTGGTTGCAGTTTCGGGTGGCTTACGTCTCACGTGAGTCATTGGTGGTTGGATGTGGGAAGCTTGTGTGGGACCCACAGTCTATCTCGTCACACTATGTCCGGTCACTCAAAGGGTTCTGGTACGATGCGTTTGTCATACTCCCGGTCCCACAGGTAATCAAGTTTATCATTTAATTATCATATTAAATTTACACAAATTCATTATAAAATATAAATCAATAAAATATACACGATATAAATGTATATAATGTCAAAGAAATGTTTTCAAGGCTTTTGTTTTGTTCTTTTAAAAGCCTCAAACGTAGGGTTAAAATATATTATTACTAAAATTGGTTAAAAGTGAAACACTTATATTGATATAATGTAAATAGGTAAACTACTATTAATTATATCAATTTGATGTCTCTTTTAAAATCCTTTTATAGATTTTATACATCAAATTAGTATTTTTACTGTTTTCATCTTTTACCCGGTTTGCTCAGTGGTTTGTTTGGATTCTATACTAAAATTAACCTTTACCAAAAAAAGACAATGGCAAATGTACGAGTGAAGTCAGTGAAAATAGTTTGATAAATACCAATAACGGCCCCTACACTATGACTGAAAAGGACTTCATACCCTCGTCGTATAGTTCGATACTTTTATGTTACTATAGTCTATAAGGTTCAAGTATAGAGAAAATGATGACTAATGTAGACCAAGTCCGTAGCCATAACATTATTATGGTATATAAGGATTCTGTATCAATTTTTCAAAACATGGACTAATCCTGCTGAGGAGTGCCAACCACAAGGACCTGTAGTTTACTATTTTGGTTGGTAAAATAAGACGTATTATTTTTGTTTATTTCTAATCAAGTTAATGATAACTAATCAATTATGCAAGAATACGGAACCAAGTAAAAAAAATATTATTCATATGAACTTTAATTTTATGAGGATTTATAATTATATAGCTTAGTTAAATTAGATAAACTATATTGTCGACATGATAATAATTACATGACTACAAATCCTTTCTATATACATAATTATAAATATATAAAAACATGACTATAACTTTGTTTATTTGCCATCTTTGTACATTATATTCGACATGTAAGGCACACTAAAAGAACCCTCCTTCATATGCTTCACTTCTTGCTTTGTATCATCCTTGCATACCTTATAAAAGATTAAATCTTTCCAATATTAGAAAGTCTAAATAACTTGAATTCATGGAATTTCATCATAAATTAAAACATTGTATATATACAAGAATTTAAAATGTATAAGTTATAATTAATATTCTAATTATTGTCTTCCATTTATCATACACAACTTTCTCATTACACTCGATTCTTTGGTTAAAATACTAATAGTAAATCGTACTTATTTTTCAGGCTGTATTTTGGTTAGTGGTGCCAAAATTAATCCGTGAAGAGCGGATAAAGGAAATTATGACGACCCTTTTGCTTCTTTTTGTGTTCCAATACCTACCAAAAGTCTATCACTCGATCTCGCTAATGAGAAGGATGGCCAAAGTCACTGGCTACATATTCGGAACCATTTGGTGGGGTTTTGCTCTTAATCTCATTGCATACTTCATCGCTTCTCACGTATGTAACATTTTCTTTATATTCTATTTCCATTACAATATCTAGAAACATTTCTATATATAGTTCACAAAGACTTGGTCTTAGATCATGTTTCTTTTTAACTCAATCCTTGTGCTTCTTGTTATTATGTAACAGGTTGCGGGTGGATGTTGGTATGTTTTGGCAATACAACGGGTGGTTTTGTGCCTAAGACAACAATGTAACAAGAAAACCGTGTGTAATCTTGCTTTGTCTTGTGCGGATGAGATTTGCTACCAATTTTTGTTGCCTGAGGGGACATTGGGAGACCGTTGTGCTGGAAACTCAACCATGGGTTTGGTAAGAAAGCCCTTGTGTTTAGATGTAAATGGCCCTTACCACTATGGAATTTATCGATGGGCACTTCCTGTAATTTCAAGCAACTCACTCACTGTCAAGATTCTTTATCCCATCTTTTGGGGTCTCATGAGCCTTAGGTAAATACAAAGTATAGATTTGGTTTTGCTTTGTTAGTGAATAATGATGTTGGAAACATAACATGCGATGTTTTGATTGCAGTACGTTTGGAAATGATCTCGAGCCCACAAGTCATTGGGTCGAAGTGATGTTTAGTATTTGTGTCGTGTTAAGTGGCTTGATGCTCTTCACGTTGTTAATCGGTAATATTCAGGTAAACTCCCATCTCACTTAGATCTTGTTAGCATTAAGGCATGTTTGTTAACATGTTATATTGTGTTGAAATGCATTGAAATGGGTGTTGATATGGATGTTAATGGAACAAAATATTATTATTTTGTTCCGCTAAAAAAGGTGGGATAGGGACATCCTCATTATCTCTCGTTTATGCAAAAAGACGAAAATGCCCTTCTCATCCTCATCATGACAATTAGTCCTAGAAAACTTGTCAAGTCCCCATTACTACGGTCCGTTCATGTCCCGTGTAACAAATGTGGCATAAACAAGTATAAAATGAGAAATTTTTGTAACTAGGACGGGTTGTTTTGCCATAGGTATTCTTGCATGCCGTTATGGCAAAAAAGAGGAAAATGCAACTGCGGTGTCGCGATATGGAATGGTGGATGAAGAGAAGACAATTACCATCACTTCTTAGACAAAGAGTGCGTCACTATGAACGCCAAAATTGGGCATTGATGGGAGGCGAAGATGAGATGGAATTGATTAAAGACTTACCCGAAGGCCTTAGACGCTATATTAAGCGTTTTCTTTGCCTAGACCTCATTCGAATGGTGAATTATACATTTCTTTTACATAATCCAAGACTTCTTGGACACAATCCAATGTTTCTAATCTGTTTTCAATCGTTCTCAGGTACCCTTGTTCCATAATTTAGACAATTTAATACTCGACAACATTTGTGATCGCATTAAACCACTAGTATTCTCCAAGGACGAAAAGGTATTGTCATTAGACCATAATAAACTTTTGTCATCTGTCCATTGATCGCATGGTGAGGTTTACTTTTTTGTTTTTATATTAATTGTGAGAAAGAGCATATATCGCACTTCACCAAAATTCTTAATTATGGTGATGTATTTGAATTTTATCATAATAGCAACCTAAAACCAAAGTATTCATGATTATAACAGCCGATGACCTTAATTGTTGCTATAGATGGGAATTTGGTGAAATACATTTATAGTATATACTAGAAGCAACTAAAAGTAGTTTTTCAAGATATATCAATTTACTTTAAATTTTAATGTTGATAGCAACCTACTTTCAATAGGTAAGTAACGAACTCTTTCATTAGCCCTTATTTTTTTTTTCTTATAATATTTATTTTGGTTTCTAATTTGGGGTTTTGTGAACCCTAGATCATAAGAGAGGGTGATCCTGTGCAAAGAATGGTGTTTATACTTCGAGGGCATGTAAAAAGTAGCCAAAACCTAAGTAAAGGAGTGGTCGCCACTAGTATACTGGATCCCGGCGGCTACTTAGGCGACGAGCTTCTATCCTGGTGTCTCCGGCGACCATTTATAAACAGGCTCCCGGCATCTTCTGCGACATTCACATGTGTGGAGCCCACAGAAGCGTTTGGGCTTGACGCCAATCATCTCCGGTACGTGACGGATCATTTCCGGTACAAATTTGCGAACGAGAGGTTGAAGCGGACGGCGAGGTATTATTCGTCAAATTGGCGGACTTGGGCGGCGGTGAACATACAATTAGGGTGGAGACGGTATGTGGCGAGGGTGCGACGAGCGGTCAACCAAGTGACGGTGACGGAGGAGGATGGGGGCAGCAACCGTATGCTCCGTCAGTATGCGGCCATTTTCATGTCGATTAGACCTCATGATCATCTTGAATAAAGTCCAATTTTTTATTCTTGTAATTCCGTCACCATTTTTATCGCTACATTTTAATATTCTAAAATAATTCAAAAATGGAGGAAGTCTGCATTAGATTTTGGAAAAAGTTTATTATTGAATACAAAACAATCGTGATTGCAGAATCTTTTGTTGATTTATTATGCCTCTCAAGGGTTATATATACACACGAGATTACATATCCTCACAGAAAACAGCAAAATACATAATAGATATATACCAAATCCTAAATACAAGGAAAGTGATAAGTATGGAGGAATTATATCAATATGACAATACTCCACCTCAAGTTGGAACATGGGGATCAAGAATGCCCAACTTGGATAAAAGATGATGGAAATGTTGTGTAACTAAGAGCTTTGGTGAAGATGTCTGCTGGTTGTTGAGTGGAGGAAGCATGAGCAGTAACAACTTTGCCTACGATAATCAGATAACGGATAAAATGACAGTCATCTCTATGTGTTTTGTGCGTTCATGAAACACGGGATTAGCAGCAATGTGTGGGGCTGACGTGTTATCATAGTAAAGGCGAACAGGGGCAGTATGAGAAACACCGAGAGATTGAAGTAATGCTTTGAGCCAAAGTATTTCACAACATGTGTCTGCCATCGATCGATATTCGGCTTCGGCAGAAGAACGGGAGACAATTGCTTTCTTTTTCGTCTTCCAAGAGATGGGAGATTGACCCAGTGTAATGAAATAAACCAGTAACAGAACGACGAGTAATAGGATACACATCCGAGTCATAGTCACAGTAAGCAGATAGACGCAATGAGTTATCACTTGAAAGATGAAGTCCTTGACCTGGATGACCTTTCAAATATCGAACAACACAAAGAGCGGAGAAAGAAAAAACAAAGGGTGGGGAATTAGAATGCCCATCAGGATATGTCATATATACATCTTCCTCCAATTCGCCATGGAGAAAAGCATTATGAACGTTCATTTGATGTAATTCCCAACCTTTGATGGCAGCTACCTAAAGAAAAACACGAACTCACACCATTTTCGCAACAGGAGAGAAGATCTCTGTGAAATCAATACCAAGGAGTTGTTTATTGCCAAGGACAAACAGATGAGCCTTGTAGCGCTTTATGTCTCTATTGTATTTGTATTTGATTCGGTAAACCCATTTACATCCAATAGCACGTTTATCAACAGGAAGAGTGGTAAAGACCCAAGTATTATTTCGTTCAAGGGTTGTGAGCTCGTAATTCATCGCATCCCGTCATTCAGAATATTTAATAGCCTCTGAGAAGGAACGGGGTTCATGCCCTGAAGTTACAACTGCTAAATACTTGGCATGCGTGTTAGAAAATTTAGAATTTTATACATAAGCTACAATAGGATAAGGTTTACCTGAGGGTGGCGTGGATGTGAGATGGCATGGGGTAGAGCTGGCTTGCATAAGTGTTACAAACATAGTCACGAAGTATAAAGATGGTTGTCGAGTACATGTACCTCGACGTGCTTCTGGTGCACCTGGAGAGCTCCCCTATCCTCGGTAACAGGAGATAAAGAATTTTGGGAAGGTGAGTTTCTGAAACATGAGCTGAAGTTGAGGGGGCTGGCACATCCTCATAAGCGGTTGGAGGCAAGAGATCAGGTTTGGTGACGAATGACAAGGTAGGTGTCGTGTTGTTGACGGGAATTTGTCCTCGAAAAAGGCCATATCGTGGGATATAAAAATATTATCATATGCAATATCATACACCCTCCAACCACGTTTTCCAAGTGTATATCCTAGAAAGATTCATTTTATTCCACGATCATCAAATTTATCTTTCGATTTAGGTAACTTGGATGCAAAGCAAAGACATCCAAACACCTTGAGATGTTGATAGGATGACTCATGACATATAAATATTGATACGGGGTTTTGTTATATAGAAGCGGTGTGGGGGTTCTATTGATCAAATAACAGGCAATAAGAACACATTCACCCCGAAGTTTAACCAGAAGAAATGCTTGAAATCATAAAGCACGCGCCAGATTGAGAAGATGACGATGTTTGCATTCAACACGACCATTTTGTTGTGGTTTGTATACGCAAGAGGTTTCAAATAATATGCCTTGATCAGAAAGAAAACTATGCAGGCATGAGAATTCTCTTCCGTTGTCGGAACGAAGACGTTGGAGTTTCTTATGAAATTGTGTACCGACCATAACACAAAATTGTTTGATTATTGTAGTAACATCACTTTTTTTATGTCACTAAGTAAACCCAGGTTGCACAAGAGTAATGATCCATAATAGTAAAAAAAAATAATAAGATGCTCCTGTAGTGGAAGGAACATTGTAGGGCCCCCAAACATCACAATGTATTAATTGAAACAATGAAGTGGATTTATTTTTACTTAAAGGAAAATAAGAGCGAGTTTGTTTTTATTTGAAGCAAACATCACATGGTTCATGACTATTTGCCTTATTACTAGAACTAGGATAAAAAGACAAGAATGTTAACACAGTTGGCGAAGGATGTCCAAATCGTTGGGGCCAAACAAGAGCAAATGTAGATGAAGCTGAAGTATGACAAACTTGACCAGTATCTCCAATCATGACAAGCCAGTAGACTCCACCTTGTTGCTAACCCACACTAATCATCGTCCTCGAAATGGGTTCATGAATAACACATAGTCTTTTAGTAAGCATGACAAGACAATTTGCATCATAAGCTAACTGAGCAGAAGAAATTAAATTACAGTCCAGAGTTGGAATGTATAAAACATGATTAATTTTAGCTAATGGTGAAATCACTAAAGAGCCTTCTTGATGAGCGATAACAAATCGACTTCCAGGTAGTTTGACAGAATCTGGAGGTATAGAGACTAGATTGTGTAAAAGAGTGTGATTTCCTATCATGTGATATGACGCCCTTGTGTCCAAAACCCAAGACAAATTCTTACCATATTCTTTTCCGTTGGAGCCTAATTGTGTAGCAATAGTTTAAAACATTTGCAATACTAAGTTCTACTGATCAGATGTAAGAGTATTACCAATAACATTTACTGCCATTGCCTGAGAAGTAATTATATCAATATTGCAATATAATACAATTAGAGATTTATGTATACTAGTTGATAAATCAACAGATAAAAATAACATTTACTGCCATTGCCTGAGAAGTAACCTCAATTTGTATGCAATGTTATACTATGAATTAACTTAGCTAAATCTCTCTTAAATAAGTTAACTATATCAAGTCAAGAAACCTTAAATATATAGGGAAATTAGTTGAATAATCTAATCTACATAAATGAACTATTTAGAAAAAGAGAAATTAAATATCCTTCTACTTTTCTTCCTAATTATCTTCCTATCCATTTGAAATGACGACAAGTGTCCTAAAATATAATTAAATTTATCAAAATATGATATTTGTCACCATTTTATATGAATAGGAAGATAAGTAGGAAAAAAATGTAGAAAGATATTTAATTTCTCTTGGAAAAAATAATAAACATTGTATAATTTTTGTAAAATAACCATTGTGTCCGGAACAGGCCATTCCTAAGCAATCTTTGGGATTTCAGAATATCATTCTGGAACAACTTTTACATTTTTTTAAATTTAATAATTTTTTGTGTATTTTTTTTGTTTATTTAAGGTTTTAAATTATAAACTGTATATATTAAAAAAATAATAGTGTTTGTTTATTTAAGGTTTTAAATTATAAACTGTATATATTATAAAAAATAACAATGTTTGAAATATTTGAATCTATCACAAGTAATTATTACATAAAGTTAAATATGTTTTAAATAATACTATAATGTTCAAATGGATCCCTATTTTATTTTCATACCCCAAAAAATTTCCATCAATTGCTTGCGATATAAGATGGCCTAGGTTCCGATTGAACCATCTATCCTCAATGATTTCCCCGCTATCAACATCTTTATGATCCAACATAAAAACACGTCACAATCCTCTTTACTTGTTAGAATGTTGTGTGTCACAACCAACATTTTCAGTTAGGAAATTCTATTCCCATGTGAACATCAGCTATTGTAGAACTTGTACTCTAAGTGAATATCATCCATTTGAATCCAAACTCTTGATTGAAGTTCAAAACCTAATACAATACATCTCATATGTTCAACTATGGATTGAAAACCCTAAAAATCCCGGTTCAAGGTTATTATGGACTAGGATTCTCTTATTGGGCCTAATGGACCACTAAACTTTCAATTTGACTACTTTGGGCCTAGGAACCCTATTTGGGCTCTAATTGGACCCATATCCATGAAAGTAAAGTATTTTGGGTCATATGGGCCTAGTATGATCCATCTTATTTCTGATGGGCCATAACTAGTTTCATAACCCCTAATGGGCTGTAAACTACATCATTGGGCTTCTTTGGGCCGTGAACCTCCATAAAGGCCCAATAGGCCGAAAAATAATTATTTTGGGCCTCATGATTTCAAACTAAGCACAGGAAGGGCCCAACTTCTCTCATTTTCTTCCCACTTTCCCCTCTCTCGGCCCAACAACAATAAAAAAAGGAGAAAAGGATGGATAATTAGAGGAGTGACACCTCACAATTTACCACCAAACAACAATGTTATTATCTAACATACTTCCATGCAAGCTAGCTTGTAACCATCATGTAAAGACCACCACCTTCTCTCTCTTCTTCTTATTTCGGCCAAAGAGACTCCACCACCATTCTCACTTTCTTTCCATTACAACTACATCCAACAATTCTATCTAGAGCTTCAAAAACTCCTTCCTCCTTCCTCTTCAATTTTCGTGTGAACTTATGTGAGCGTGGAAGAACACTTCATCAAAGGGCATCATTCTTGGTAAGGCTTGTTAATCCTCATTGTTTTGTTTCAAGTCTATAACAAGATTCTTGTTCTTATAACATTATTTTTGTATATAAGGCCTTAGAACCATCCACATCTTCAAGATCTTCTCAAGGAAGTATGCTAGGCCAAAAACAACCTCATCTTCTCATATCTCTTCATCAAAACCGAACCAAACCTCAATGTGAGTTCATACCCCCTATTTTTGATTTTTACTTGGTTTTGGGGGAGAATACAAGTTGCTTTGTGTAGATCTATGTGTGTATGCATGATTTTGTGTGTTTTCTTTGGTTACATATGT